AGTGACCTACTTCATAAAGAGCCCTAATGATGGGCAGACACAAGTAAATGTGTCTGACCTCAGGAAACGCCAGTCCAACAACAGCTCTTGCCAGTTGAAAAACTAATTCCTTGACATGAAATGATCTTCGATTCATAAATTAACAACACCACAATCGATGGCACGTAGGGCCGAGATGGTAGCGCGGGAACCATAGTCACTATCGTACTTCTACTTCTTCTCACTCCACACAGTCAGTCCGCACTTGACTGAGTACCTGTTGACAGTCGCCTCTGCGTGGTTAATTGGTCTGTAGACGCGTTCTCAAAACCAGAATCTTATCGCTCCATGTTTTTTATATCATCTTAGGCTCGGTCGAGTTTTAGCTCAGAATCCACTAGTGACGTTGTAGGTACTACCTTGCAGCTCACTAAGAGTGCGGGTGTTGTGGCGGTTGGTGATATGAACAGGTATGCTCGGCCGTGTTGACGCTGAATCAGGTGGTCGTCTTTTGTGGGACGCAAGCTTGACTAACAGTTGAGGATGCTTTTTACAGTTTCGTGAGTTTCTGGTGAGAACTTTGTGGATCTGGTTACAATAGTAATCATAACCATTCACCTACTTCACCCATTTTAGCACAGCCGCCATAACATTCAAAGGAAGCACGAGGGTTGAGATACTGCCTGGTTATCCAATCATAGAGAGGAGCAGTCGAGGTGCAGAGACTGGGTTCAGATCATGGACCTTCCGGTCAGTAATTTCTTACTCTAACCACTGAACTATCTCGATCTGTTTATACGAAACTACGCATGTCACTGACCAGTTACTCATGGATATTAAGCTGTTCTGGACAATGCTTTGATATACCCATGCTGACAGTGTAGTGGAGGCATGTCACGGTCGTGTTACTGTCTTTCAAGCTCGTCTCGTTTTCGGACCGCAGACGGATATATAGCTCTGTGATGTCTACTACCTGTTCTTACAGGGACTCGTGTCAAAATCGATATACATACATTAGTGAGCTGTCCAAACAGATTACTTCGTCTGTTGCCTAGCTGCCCCATGTTTCCATCACCATAAGACAATGCATGAGGCTGTTGTAGGTTATCCTTTTTCCCATTTTCGTCCCTCTTGCCTGCAGACTGGGAAGAAGTATCCGTCCCCTTCTATGAACATACATTTTTGGAGAAGCATTTGGATAAGGAGCTGCTCAAATGTGGCCCGCTATCCGTCTTCCTCGAGTTGGTGTGTCACGGATTAGCACAAAACCCGCATTTCACTGTCGAGCAAAAACGGGAGCACCTGAAATGGTATTCATCCTACTTCAAGGACAAAGTATCAGCAATCGAAGCATCGGTACAGGAAGAGAAGCGCTTAACAGAGTTAGAGCAAAAAGCCCGAGGTTTGTAGCTCATAGAAGCTTCTGTAAAACTCAATCCACCCTAATACACTGTTTCAATGCATTCTTTTGTTTTGATTCTCAGAGTTTTGAACCATGCGATTTCGCAGCTTGAATCGAAGTTCAAAGCCAACTCCATAAGTCTTTTGGGAGCAGTAGCACGTACAACGACACTCACGTAGGTGACCTTGAGGTAAATTACCCACCTTCAATAAGCCCGTAACAGTGGATTCAGAATGTGGCATGTCCTCTTTCACAGAACGAAAGAGACTGGGAAGCCGTTTTAGACAGTATCATTTGCTCTCAGGCCCTAATTCAGTTGCCTGGTGGTGACTGTCAGTGACGGACGCTTTAGATGCACTAAAGTCATGTATTGATTATCCCACAGTCATGCCTGTGATCCCATTCGTGTGTCTTTGTGCCTGGCACAAAGTTGGATGGGGTCAGATGACGACTCGAACCGTCTATCACTTTTGAGTTGTACGATCATGATAGGTACACTGGGACAAGAACTTTGTCGTGGCAATGTGACCTTTCCACGGGCTGTATGGTTATAGACCCATGATGGGTTTTAAAATCAACCAATGGGTAATTCTAATCGACCCACTATTCGTAGCTAATAATGAAATCCTTTCCACTGCCCGAATTCCCAGTTTTCGGCAGCTTACTAACCGGTGAGTTTCGCGCGCAACCAATCGAATAACGCGTAATGAGTTTTCGTACGTAAACACATTCATTGCCACGGCGCTTCTATTGCTTGTCCAGCCATGATCTTGGGATTCAGCCGGATGTTTGGAGGGTTAGCAATCCATGGACTGAGGGATCTCTTTCTGATCAGTATGTAACACAGTTGGAGTCACTGAGTAGTAGTCCCTGAAACGATATTGTATGCTACCGCCACGATCCTAATGGAACGGGAGTTCACGATGCAAGTGTTTGTTCAGTAGGCATAGCTGAAATTACAGATCTGGCTTTTAGTGCTAAACTAACTAACATAATTTCATTTATTCAAAAATGCACCTAAACCATCTGGAGTTGTGTTCCCTTATTTACGACGCCAGCCTGTTAGGCACCTTATTTGCTTCAAGCCCGCTCGCTCCACGATGAATTCATAGGAATTTCCATGCAAGGTGGCCTGCTACACAGCGAACAATGTTGCGCAGATAGTAATGAACCAATTCGTGCCTCCAGTAATAAAGATTGATTCGACTGATTTCGTCTTGTTTTCCGTTCCGAATAGCCTATCTCTATTTAGGTCGCTGCCTTGCATTTGGACTAGGATTACCGTGACACCCTCTCCAGTTAGTACCCAAGCGGCTCTTTTGTGTTCATATCTCCAAGAGACCCGAATATCACGTTTTGTAGGGAAGAACCTTCTCGGACCCTATTTCATTATCCGGAGGGATCGCTTTTCTGTCTATATCGAAGGTGATTCACTGAAAAGCTCCTGTGCTTGCATGTTTCTACGTTCAGCCAAAACGCACACCAAAATTATCGTTCCTTAAACCTCCAAGTTGACAAATTTTGAATTTCTCGTCCGCATCGCGGTGTCAAAACTACCCATGGTTTATGGAAAAACAACTCATTTTGTCAATCTGAGTAGTAACATTTATAAAACCAACCTTACCAACGTGGCTTTCAGTTCCCCCTACAGGAGCCCCTCGCCACAGCAATCCACTTTCCGTTTTTGTGTAATTCTCTCAAATTTCTGTTGTGACCAGCAAACTTAGTCTTTGACGTTTATCGACAACAGATAGGACAGATTTATCTCATGACACTAGCTTCACTACTCCTCTTATCTAACCTTAAACAGTAAAGCTAGATTTCTCGGTGGATTTCAGCCCTCGGAACTATCACCGGGTCGTAACACTGCTTGTCAACTCTTCTCAGGCAACCGAACGGTCCCGTCGGCGATCTCTGTAGGAAGGTACAGGAAGAGAAAAAAGTGAAACTGTCAGCCTCCATGAATCTCCAACTTGCTGATAATATTCCAGACTGTGGGTTGAGCTGGGCGACTGGGATAAATGTACTGGACATCTTCGAATGGCATGGGACGAGCCCGACGTCCACGACAGTGTCTTCGATTATGGATCTTAATGAAACAAGTCCACAACTTGGTGGTAAGAATCAGCGCCCATCGGGAATCCCCCTGGGACCTCATTCGGGACCTGAGAACACGATTAACACAGGTTTTCAGCTGTGTTGCTACTCTGATGTTTTGTTGCCTAAAGTTCTATCACCTGTCCGAAATTGCCGCGTTGGTTTAGGTATGTAGAGTGAGCAAACCGGAACGGTACAAACTAATGCTAACTACTGTGCCAGTTGTATTGGTTTTTATTGCATACGTTTGTACGGTTGTTTCTCTTTGGAAAAGCCACCTGAATGAGACGCTCAAAAGAGGACCTTAGAATTTTCGAATCGTTCAAAGAGGACTCTGGTGAGATGAACTAGGTGGTGATTGGGCGTTCGACTCTGGTAGCCGGTTTCGGTGCCTGATGTTAATTGCCTCTCGAAGGCATCAGTGTGATTTCTTGGAAGAAAAATAGGTAAAACAGACTGGTTGTTGTGAACGCCGTTGCGGATGGAAGACCTGCCTTCTTGCTGTATGTGCGTCTAGGCCTGCTGATCTCAAACTGAACGACCGATTAACCGACCACTGGGATGTAAGGGACTATTGTGGCTAGAGGTCCAGATTGATAAACACCAGTCTCCACACTGTTTTTATCAGTGTTTCCCGGATTGGGTACAGTTGAGCCGACGAGTCAATGGCTGCCAATTCGTGAGCATAAATACCATTAAGAAAAATTCTGTTTCTTTACGTCCTAGATGTACATTTGTCCATGTCATTATTGTAGTCTTCCAAATACTGCAGGTGACAAGGTAGTCCAATGATGATCGCCTTCTTGGTAGGATCGGCAAAATGATAGATGTGTATACGAAGCAGCAGACTTATTAGGATGATACTTCAACATGTTGGGTTGAATTCGCCGGTAAATTTCACACACGAGAAACAAGTGGTTTTAATCTACACATACATCTCGTATTCATGTAAAACTGAAGAGCTTAGAGTGACGTAAACAAAGTTGAATGTAGTTGATACTTAACGGCTAAGTAGTTGCGGAAATTTAACCGACATCACCTTCATATGAACAGCCTTTCTCCCCTGGCTCGGGTGGTGTGGCTAATTCACACTAAAGTAGAAGAGGACCGAGCTCCAGTTTCGCTCATATTAGGGCTTATCCACGCAGGAATTCTAATTCCGATCATTGAAGTGCGAGACGACCATGTTCCCACTCTGCGATTATAGCGCGTTAGACTCAACCTCGATCGTCGCATCTGAACAGCTGAACATGTTCTTTTCCAGGCAACGGGTGCTTCTGCCAATGATCCAGTAATTTCCATGTTAGCACATATTAAAAACTCGCCGGTCAGAACCCATTGGTCATTTGGCACTAAGTGGACGTTTCTGGGCTGCCGGGTACATTACATTAGGTAGTGTGCGTACTGCATAGTCAAGTGAATCAAAGAAGCTTTGTTGCCCTTTTCCAAAACGTCCCTGACAGAAAAAACGGATCAAAAATCTCAAATTCCGAACCCTAGGGACTCTAGTTGCAACGAGGAGTACTCGGCTAGAGCCAATATCTGTAGACAGCATATTCTATGGAATTCAACTTGAGCTCCGCGTCTGGAGTTCCCCTCAGAGATAATCAACAAAATGCATATTTGATATGTTCTATCAAGCCCCACCACAGTCCTCGCTCGGATGATCTCTCACCCGTATTGTTCAAGAATGGGGTTGAATTCCTCAGTTAGCTCTTTTGTCATCTGTTTGTCTCTATCTGGAAAAAGGAGACTGTCTCAGACAACTGATACTACCAGCTGTCGAAAAATAGCGCGTGATGACTGCGGTACAAGTGGGGGATCAGTTCGGCTCTAGTCGTAACGGAAATCCTGCGATCACTGGTCTCTCGTCGTCCTGTGTGGGCTGTTGAAAGTGACACAAGAGTAGCAGACAAGATTCTGGCCTGGTAGGCGTTGTGTTGACCAAATCCTCACACTCCGTCAGGTGCTAGAACAACGCCGTACGTACAAACGACCAAGAATTGTACTACTCCTGGATTTCCAAGGTGCATTCGACTCAGTTGACCGGTCTGTTCTCCCTAACACACTCGCTCAGCAATTATTGTCTCGTAAGTTCATGAATAATAATTCTTCGTATTCTCAATCTTATGGGCGTGAGAGCCTACGGAAAACTCCCGAAAAACTTCCATACTCAAAGTGATATTCGATAAGAATTCCCGATTTCCCTATCATTTCTTGACCTCGCGATAGACAAGATAATGTTCAAATAGGTTCTGACGAAAACCTCGTCGATCTGGAATAGGCAGACGACATCGTCCTCGTCTTCGAAGAGGAGGAGAAGGCACAAGTGTTTTTGGATGCACTTTGCACCAGCAAAGTGTAAGGTCATGTTTTTGGACGTGCGGCCGCTGAACACTCCATCCACAATCCAAGAATTGGATCGTTTTGCGCATCTTGGTAGTTTTACTGCTTCTAATTGTACAGTGATAGATAAATTTGATGCACGACTCTCCAAGGCTCTGGTCACGTTTGCTAACTTGAGACACATTGTGGCAAAGTGTCACATACCTGAATCTCATGGGACGTCTGTGTCCGGATACAGTGGTGTCTGTTTTTCTGTACGGCTGAGACGGGGCCTTTGAGAGAAGCGGAACTGAGACATCTTCAGGTTTTCGGCAAATGTTTGTGCGACTCACCTTCCTGTACGGGTCTGCTTGATCCTCCTTCTGTGCATGGTTGGAAACGCTGCAAGAAGTGGTTGCTAATTGGAGTCAGTGGCGTTCTTGTTAGTTTTGTTAGATTGACTGAATCAGTGTCTGGAGATGTAGGCTCCTCGGATAATTGTGGTGAGCTAGCCCTAAGACCCTTCCAGATATATTTTTATTCTTCTTTTTTCACAAAAGGGCTTTCGGATAAATTGTGGGTGTGCATTGAAGCCGGTTGTCGTACCAATGATGATGACCAAGTTTCGATGTTTGCCGCATTCTGGGATAACATTCGTTACCAGAGTAGTCGGTCAGGCGTACCTTCACTACATGCGGCACAGTCTCTCTGCCAACTGTTCTCATGTCCGACCGCGAAATCTTCCGGTGCGGGACTGATTCACACCTGGTGATGCATCGTCAGATCTGCCACCACCTCAAGTTCACGAGACTACGGCTGTGAACTGAGAATTAACGGTTCAAACATAACCACTGGATGAAAGCGCGATTCCGAATAGGAAACTGGGATTCAGTGCTTGGGAATAACTTCCTAACCAATCTATCGAGAATGTTAGTTATCCCCTTTGAACACCAACCAGGAACTTCGGACTCACACAGCACTGATCAAGGCGACTAGTCGCTAGGAGTCTCATCGACTGACTACCTTAAAACGTGACCTGACGAAGCCTTTGTATCAAAAACGAAACGTCTAGTAATAAATCCGCCGATTGTTTACCAAACCTCTCAACCGGTCCTGAACATCTTCGAATTAATTGGGATCCGGCACTTTTCATCTGCAGTATGGTCAGTTGATAAATGTCTTTGTCAGTTAGAATGTTCAGATCGATGAACATCGCTTTTTGAAGTTAGCGAAACTAAAAAGGCGAAATTTCCCTTTTCAGTTCCCTAGTTAGTGAACTTATCCTTTCAGAAATCACGAAATGCATCACCGAAGCAGGTGACTGAGTTTACACCACGGCGGTTGCATTGCATTCCTCGTGCTGTGAGCTGGGGATCACTGCGGAAGTTGGGAATCCATTCTGGGCTATCATTTCTTTCTGAAACCCTTCTAATATCTTACGCTCCACTATTACTACAGGTTCCGTATTAGCCATACAAAGTTACGTAAGTGGGGGAAAGTAGCTAACAATCTCCTGAAAGGCTTTAAATTTTAGAAGAAACACTTGCAGAAAAGGACGCTGGTCATATTGTCATACGTACTATACTGTTGACATTGTCTGAAATGTCCAAAATCGTGTTATTTCCGGAGATATGCTCCTTTCTGGCGTGGAACTATGCCTAGCTGTGATAAACCACCTGCTGGTTCACCTCATCTTCCAGAAGATCACTTACAAAAAATGATAAAAACCGCTAATCATACGTAGGTCGTTTTATATGGTTTACACTAGACAGTACAGGGCAACAGTTAAGTCCCCACCCGTCATTTGCAAGTTTCTGTATCTGTCAATAAAAGTAAGTCTTGTTCGATAACGAACGGATGGTAACGGTGGGGAATCGTTCGAAGTTCAACCGTGTTTAAGTCTGTAGATAACAAACAATTTAATTTTTGGTATTGTTGTGGTTGATTTAAAAAGTCCTCACCGGTATATTAGTGTTGTGGACGAAAAACGGGCAAGCTAATGCTATATTATGTAGCGTTTCACACTCCTTGAGCTTATTCGTTTTAAGTCGTCCTTTTACTCAATTTCCTTTTAGAAAATGGGCTGTTTTCTCTTGATATCCAGCGGTAGTACAACCACTGTTCAGGTGGTTTGTTATATCATTGAGTAACCTGATTTGGGACGCAGTCACTCCACTTGAATATCCAGTATGACAACACCACCTGTGGTAAAGCTGTAGTTCTCAAAACAAAAATAACTTTCATGAGAAACACGGTTCCCAAATCCGCCCTAATCCATGTAAATATTGCGTCACGGGTATTATAATCGAAAGATTCAGTTGGGTCTCTTATTAGCAGTGAGGTGATTTGCAAAATGAATCTTCCGTTAGTCGCCTTGATCAGCGGCAGCAAAAGTTGAATTTTACATCAAACACATAATAAACGGCTGCTATGTATAATCTAATTATTTCACTAGTGTGAATCCGACACTGAATAGTTCACTTACGCACAATGATATCAACGTTGCACAGTGTACATTACCGTCTACAGTTGAAGACGGTCCTTATCGTCATTCAAGATTCAGTTAAGCTACTTTGATGTACGTACAAGCGGTTCCACTAATCCCAATAAGAATGCAAAACTGTTCAAGATCAACTATTTTGGAGTATAGCTGGTATTGGTATTGCATCCTAAAGGGACATAAGTTACTTGGTAATTGATCAGGTGGCTGTTGTTCTGTTCACCGAGTTTGGCAATTGATTTCCAAACCTTTGGTTACCATTCGAGGAGACACCTTCAGTGCGCTGTTGGATGGGTTACGGTAGAATTTTTTTCATTTTAATTAGGGGCTGTCTACTGACAACCGGTAGACAGTGAAGCAAAGAGCGCTGTCAGTAGCGAAAGGCATGTTCGGTTGAGGAATCATTCTCATGTATATGACACAGCTGAGACGAATTTCACGGGTCGTGCCATAGAGTTACATTGAACTATTTGTATACCGACTCCAAAATTGGAGCAGTTCAGATCCAGTGTACCAATAAACATGGGCTTCTTTCAAGAGGGGGTCGCATTTGCCGTATTATGTTTGCATGTCATCATACCTCTTCAAAATTTCAGCAAGTACCCTGAGATACAAACACTCGCGCAAAGCAACCTGGAAGGCACACTACCTTCAGTTAGACAATTTGGACCGCGTGGAATGTTTTTTTTTACATGGTTATCTTTCCCCGACGAGAAAAACCAGAGACGAAGTGAAGGTCTTTTCTGGTTTCCCAGACTATTCCTCAAGATGGGGTGGTGCGACGAAGAGAGCCCAGTGCTTTTCTCCCCGTCTTTATGACTATGTGATTATTTATTTATACAACATAAATCCAGCTGAAAAGCCCTAGTTGTAAAACTATTACGGCCACACACCAGTCGGTCAATGACGGAGCAAAAACAGCGGTACCCTGTTATACCATGATCTCTGGTTATCGTACTTTATGTCCACAATGGGAGACGATTTTAATTGAGGCGTCACTTTTGAATACAGTTGTTACCTTTACTTCCATGGGAGAACGCTTCACCACGCGCATTGTTTGACGAGTGTATGTCCCCAATCACTTGGTTAAAGCCTATTGGACCGAAAATTTACAGATGGTCGAAGTACGACGCATCTGGATGAGAAATCGAACTTTTAGTGTGCAGCCCCCAATATATTGGTAGGGTTTATCTTCTTTGTTTATGTCCCAGGAATGTTGGAATATCCTATTCTACCCTACCCGGATCGTCATCTGCTGAGTATCACTCAGGGCAGTCAAACTGATGTCGTATCGGCGCGCAGGATAACGCTAGCCTGTACCATACAGAATTTTCCTATTCAACAAATGTAGACAGAATACACTGATACCGACTGTGTTAAGTACAACGTTCACAAGGTGAAGCATCAAGACTGTAAAGGTGCTTAAGCAAACTCCTGATGTAAACCACTAGCAACTAACTTAAAAAAAGCAACGGCTGTAACGGAGATTGAAAAACCGACAAGCAACTACTTAGGAATCGTACTGTTAAGGTGGAGTTTGGGTGGTATTACGTAGAACACGAACCCATTTGGCGGAAAATGCAGTCAAGTTAGTAAACAATAAGAAACTATGTAAGAAAACCGCTCTCTCAGTAAGACTGTCTAGACGTGCCACTATGCCACTGTTCTGGTCAGTGAATAATATGATAGAAATGCAGTTGAATGGCATACGTCCAACCTACATGAGCGCCTTAAAACTGGCTACTACTTACGAACCAAATGTACGACTCATCAAAAACGGACACGTGTTCATTTTGGTTCGTAAGCAAAGATGATAAGTTGCATTTTCTTGGGGTTGCATGGCCGAGAAGTGTTTTCTAATGATATGGAACTTTCTCTACTTAGGCTGTTACCCTATAAATAATCATTCGCATTACACCGTCAAGGAAGACTAGTTGTGGGGAGCACCACCGTACCTTACCTGGTGTTTGGAGCCGGATGTTAACCGAACTGCAACGTGAGGTACGAAGCTCAGTCCCAAACCACAAACACCATATAAAAGTATGCCACCTAATCAACGGGATCTTTGCTGACACCAAGCTGTTCAACGCCGACTGCATCTACAATAGTAAAAGACTCACAGCAATACCACAAAAGAAGCGTAACCAAACTAAATAAGGACCACCCTAATTCAAAATCTTGATGAACCGGAAGAACTACAGCAGGATCTGACAATTGATCAACACGCCATACTGTGCGCGCCTAAACGCTGAACAAGAGAGAGCATCCCACTCCTATTTCAATCATGGCCCAATGGTGAAATCGTATAGCGAAACTACCTATCGGTATGCATTAGCTGAGTCACTTGTTTCAACAGGCGTAGTCAAGTAGGCTGTTGTGTAAAGTTTGACCGATTCGATTACTCAGTGAAATGAAGTCAACGTAACCCTATCATGAAGGCACAGGTTTCCCTNGTGGACGACACGACTGTGACTAGTGCACATGCATCCACCATGATCATTTTGAACGTTCAGCCATCCTGATGGTCAACTAGCTGGACTTGTCGTTGAGTTAGATAACGACGAACAAAGTTGTAAAAGTACGGAAAGCACTGCGAAGTGGAGTTTATTACGAGTGAAAATAGAAAATGAGGCTTTCTACAATAGGATGAACTTCTGATTGTGACATGTTTTACCTGGAAGTTCTACAACGAACGACAAAGATTGCCGTCTGGTTCTAGACCCGTAAGACTGTCAATTCTGCTAATGGGTATGATCAAAGACCTGACCGTTCTCTTGTTTCGAGTTTGGCTAGGGCTCCCTAATCGATGCTTAGTGTGCCAGTCGTCCTCTCAAACACGAGAAGCATAACAGTACCAGAAAAGCTATGCATTTTTAGTAAAACGATCGCGGGGGTACACGTT